GACAATCACCATAGTCTAATATACATTCCTTTATTTTCATTAGATTTTTCTCGCTTGGATGATGTTTGTCAGACGAAGTTTATCATCATTTTCATCATCATTATCATTTTCGTCGTCATCATCACATCATCATTATCATCAGCACAACAAATATCATTACAATCATTATCATCATCCACACAATGTATATTATACGTTTGGTAGACATATACATTTAATTAATGCAATACTCAGTGACAAAATGGAATAAGATGATTATAATCATGAGATTACTAGGATAACAGTAAAGCAACAATAAACAAACAACAAAAACATAAATACAATCAATTGAACAACAAAAACAACAACAAACAAACAAACAAAGGTAAAAACTACAAAAAACAGACAGCAGCAGGCAAACAGTCTGAACAGAGCATGAATGAAAAATCGCATGTGCAACAAATAAATTAGAAAAAATGCACCAGATAGAACAAATTGCATCACACCAGTAGAAACGACATGCACGCCAAATACAAAAAAAAACGCTAACTTGATAGTAACTCCGCAATGATAAACTACGCTTCTTCTTGTAATAGGAGTCAATATGAAAAGTTAAAAGTTGCACTTAGATCATAATTTATACAAAAAAAAAACATGAGATCAAACAAACTTGTATACAACAACTACATAATGTACATGTACAATAACATGAAAAAAAAACTTTATGCAAAAATATATTTGTCTCAACTTATTCATACAACAATGCATACAACATGGTATAGATACAACAACAATGCATACAACGTTGTATAATAGTAGATACAACAACATTCAATATATACATGCAGTATCGTACAGATACAATAACAATGAATACAACAACATTGTATAGATACATCAACAGTGAATACATAACACATAGTATAGATACAACAACAGTGCAAACAACATTGTGTAGATACATCAACAGTGAATACATACAACATAGTATAGATACAACAACAGTGCAACAACATTGTATAGATACATCAACAGTGAATACATACAACATAGTATAGATATAACAACAGTGTCAACAACATTGTATAGATACATCAACAGTGAGTACATACAACCTTGTAAAGATAACAGAACAATGCATACAACCTCATACGCCATTTTAGTATTCAAGGGATGTCTTTCACTTTGTCAACGTGAAATTAATTACACCCCATGCAAGTATCGAATAAACGTGGCCCGCCCGTGTACAACTCAAACGCATCCACACAAACAAACATGCCTACACACGCTCACAATAATTAGATCAATTTATTTTTTCGAATCACTCATATTAGTGTACACTCAAATATATATATATACGTAATATTCTTATGAAGAATTGCGTGAACTGTATAGACACTACACACACGTGCAAATAAGAAGTATATATATATAACATATACATATATATATATATATATATATATACCATACCGTTGAAATGTACGTAGATACATGCTTAAATGAATAACGCGTTTTTTA